TCCTTTGGACACTGTTGTCGCAGAGTTCAGTGAAATCGGTCCAGAATGGAACTGCACCGCATCCGTCAGTTGTCAGTTCTGGGGCATGACTTTAGGGTTTGTTTTATTTTGTTTATGCAAGAACATAATGATCGCTCATCTGTATGTCCACGTTTGTGTGTGTCCACATCCTTCTGGTAAACATTGTTCTAATTAGTCACTCATTAGCGTTCTCAATAGGGCTCTCAAGTCCAGTAGATTACGGGTAGTCAGTTGACGAAGATCTGGTTTACAAGAACTAATTAAATGTTTCATTGCATTTTTGTAAGAACATAGAATAATTTTATAAAATGTTTGTAGTTTATAATTGCCGAAAATAATTTAAAGACACTTTTTTCCTCTGTGTGTGCAAATGTGTGTTTGTGATCATTTTTTTTAGGACACCTGTTTCCTAGCTAGCTTTACAATATGCCAAAAAAAAAAAAAAAAAAAAAAAAGATTCTCCCTGACCCAGGCCATGGTTCACCCTCTTTTCCTCCATGCTTTGTGCCCTAGCTTGTAACAAAGGAAAGATGATGACTTAAGAAGTAGTTCTGTATCTTCAGTATCTTGGTCTTCCAGAACCCTCTGGTTGGGAAGGGGATCATCTTTTACTGGTCATTTCCCTTTGGAGTGTAGCTACTTTAACAGACTGAAAGAACCTCATTGGCCAAGGACACAGCAGAGGTGTTGCAGCCCGGCAGCAGCCATGGCGCTCGTGAGCAGCTGGCGGGTGGGGCTGGTTGTCAACCATTGTCCGGCAGTGCCTGGGGAGGGAAAGCCCGGATGGCACAGCTGATGGTTTCACAGTGATCACAGCATACAGACTTAGCATGCGAACGATGGCAATTCTGGTGCACACAGGCCCTTTGCTTACATGCCTCATACCGTGATTTGTGCTTTGTTATAACAAGGAAGAGACCCTATTTATTTTATTTAAGGCAGAACATTGAAGACACATTTTTCCAGTCCAAACCAAGTCCATTTAAGTAAAAACGACACACACACACACAAATGTGTTTCAGTCGGGCTCCATTTCCTCTAGCCCCCAGTGGGTTATTGGCCATGTCTACACTTCTCCACAAAATCTCCATCAGTAGAAACATCTGGATGTTTTGCACTACATGGGAGAAAGGTCCAGAAACAATTAGGGGTTTTTTTTTGTTCAACTGTTCATTGAGATGTTTGGCGTTGCATATACGCATCCACAGGTGGGACAGATGCTTGGCAAAAACACCTGTCTGCTTTCTAAGCCAGTGAGGTTGAGGTGAGAGGTTTGCCAGAGTATGTCTACCTCTGGGACAAAAAAAGAGAATTAAACCAGAAGGCGCAATGGAATGGATGCATCACAAATAATGCATTTTCTGAGTTTCCTTGTTTAAAAAAAAGTTTTTTAAAAAAGTAAAAAAAAAAAAGGTAATAACATGGCCAATTTGTTACATAAATGACTTTCTGTGTACAAATTATTCCTAAAAAAAAAAATTCTTCTGTTTATAAAAAAAATCAGTAGATGAAAAAAATTTCAAAATGTTTTTGTATATTCTGTTGTAAGAATTTATTCCTGTTACTGCGATATACTCTGGATTCTTTACATTATGAAAAAAAAATACTTTGTCTATTTTGAATGGCTGAAGCTAAGGCAACTTTAGTTTCTCTTACTCTGCTTTTTTCTAGTAGTTAAAGTACTACATGGTTTAAGTTAAATAAAAGAATTCTGTATGCATTTTTGCTGTCTGATTTGGTTCCCCTCCCTTCTGGAAGAATCGGAGGCTTCTGAGGCAGGGAAGCCGAGCCACGTGTGGCCCGTGTGTTCACACATGTCGCTCGGAGGTGTTCTGCGGAAAGGCTTTGCTTGCTTTCTGACAGCTGAACCTTCTCAGCATGCAAATTGCTGGTGAAGACAGGGAAGCTATTCGCTTTCTCACTCCATTAAATCAGCTCGAAGAAAATTTGAATACATAAGATACAGAAATCTGTACTTCATTTTTGACTGATCTGTAGACTTCTGCTATATCTTCCACTGACAGGAGTCAGGCCCGGGCAGGTTTGCTGTAGGTGACTCTGGGACAAAGGACTCACACTTCCCATTTCCCTGTCCTTGTTGGTACCTTGCAGCCAGCACACCTGCTCGGGATGCAGGTCAGAAGCAAGCAAGCGTGCACAGGCTGTGGCTCACGGGAGGTGTTCGGAACGTTCCTTTCTAACTGAGGATCTTGGCCTGTCCCAAGGCCTCTACAATCCAGGCATTGTTTTACTGCTGGGAGAAATGGCCACAGTAAGAAGTATGAATGTATATTCAAAGGAAACAGGCTGGAAGTGTTCTGGAATCAGACCAGAGACACACAGACACATGGGGGAGCGGGGAGGATGCAAGCTGACCATTTCACTGAATTTTGATCGCAGGAAACTCCAGAAACAAAGTCAGGCCACTGTATAAAGGGCTAAACAGCAAGGTGTAGGCAGTTAAAGTAAATCAAAGGCCATAGTTATTTCAGATCTGGTCAGTCACACACATATTTGGACCTAAAAACAAAAGGCCTTTCTAAGAGCAAGGACTCTCTCAAGTTCTCGGGGTGGCCCCGGGGTTTCTGCTTGTCACAGAGTGTCTGGCCCTCGACCTCGACCGACTGGCCCTAGGTGACAGGTGGCTCCAGGCAGTCTCCAGGCTCCTTTCCGATGGGCATGTGGGCTGCTGGGGAGGTGGGCACTAGGAGTGTCCTGTGTGGGTACACGCTGTGCTTCCTGCCAGCCGCGGTGCGCTCTGCACCCGTGCTCTGCCGGGAGCAGCGCAGCGCCTCCCCCCAGCGTGCCGCTCCGAGACCACAGAGCCCCCAGGGCCGTTTCCGTAATCCGGCTAGGAGCCCATACTCGGTATGGCGCGTGTGTGTAGAGCATGCACTCATCGCTGGCCGCCTCGCACATCCCTTCTCTCAGCAGATGCTCACAACTTGGCAAAGAAAGGGTTTTTTTTTTTTTTTTAAATAGATGAGCAAACACACAGACCTGCCCAAGACCCACCAACTAGTATGTGACCAACCCAGAGTTCAACCTGTTTACACGGGGTCAGCTTTCAAAGGGACTCTGAGCGACCGCAGCCCAGCCACAGGTAAACAGGCCCCAGGACATATCCACAGGGGTGGATGGACGGCCGCTGAGCCTCAGAGGGACCCGGGCCCTCTGGGAATCTTCCTCATGAACACCGGAGGTCACACAGGGAGAGACGACGGAGACGTGCATCAAGAGGGAGCTCTGGGCCTCCTCACCAGATGACATCTAAAAGTCTATAAAATGTGTATGGTTTGGTGCCAAGCAATCTGAAATAACTCCGAAGCAGGGTCCTGAGGCCCCCTGCTTGCCCCTGGCCTGAGAGGGAAGCTACAGTGGGGAAGGGGAACAGGGCTCTCGGTGCCAGGTGTTTGCCTCCAAATCTAGAAGCATCTCTGCATTTAAAACCATGCAGCCGGACCTGCACGTGCTGGCCATGCCATCCCAGCCCACTTGGCCGGCTCTGATCTGCTCCAGGGGACTCTGATCTGTTTCATGTCAACTAAGCCAGTTTCATTTGCAAAAGGGGTCCTGTATAGTCTGTACCAAAGGCTCAAGTATGCTAGAGAGCTAATGATAAAACAAGCACAGTCTGCCTAGTTCCTTTGTTGTTAACCGGCACATGCTTTTCCTTATAGTGAAAAAATCTGGACACAGAATAAACAATGCTTTAAAAAAAAAAAAGTAATGAAGTGAAAGTGATAGTTGTGAGCACAACACCGTAAGAAATTTCCCAGAGCTTAGCCACTGCCACCTTCCTCCAAAGGGTGGCATCAACCTCATCATCAACCCCTTCCTCCAAAAACCAATGTATCTCAATGGATATTTGCCCCCAGAAAACCTTAGACAAGCAAAACCTTGCTTTGAGCAGCTTGGCACTCAGAGCCAGGGCAGCGTTGCCCAAAGGCAACATGGTGGCTGGAAAGGAGAGATTCTGGTTCTAAAAGGTAAGGATAACACCCAACCTGGCAGAGAAGCCAAACCTGGCTATTATCCTTTGCTTTAAGACCAAACACGACTGCTAGGAATATAAAATAGCGCAGCCACCATGGGAAACAACATGGCGGACCCTCAAAACCGTAAATATAGGAACACCTTATGATCCAGCAATTCCCCTTCTAAGTATATAAACAAAACAACCGAAATTAGGGACTCTAACATATTTTTTTTTTGCACACCAGTGTACACAGTAGTAGTACTCATAATAACCAAAAGGTGGAAGCAACCCAGTGTCCACCAAAGGATGACTGGATAAACAAAATGTGGTCTGCACAAAAATGAAATATTACTCAGTCTAAAAAAGGAAATTCTGGGGGGCGCCTGGGTGGCTCAGTGGGTTAAAGCCTCTGCCTTCGGCTCAGGTCATGATCCCGGGATTCTGGGATTGAGCCCCACATTGGGCTCTCTGCTTGGCGGGGAGCCTGCTTCCTCCTCTCTCTCTGCCTGCCTCTCTGCCTACTTGAGATCTCTCTGTCAAATAAATAAATAAAATATTAAAAAAAAAAAAGGAAACTCTGACACATGCTACAACATGGATGAACCTCAAAGACGCTGTGCTCCGTGAACTAAACCAGTCACAAAAGAGTATGATTCATGTATACAAGGTCCTTGGAGTAGCCAAATTCAGAGATGGAGGATGGAATAATGGTTGCCAACGGCCAGGGGGAGTGGGAGGGATGTTGTTTAATAGAGATAGTTTCAGTTTGGGATGCTGAGAAAGTTCTAGAGATAGACAGTGGTGATGTCTGTGCAAGTGAATATCCATAAACACTGAAAAACGGTTAAAAGGGTAAATTTTATGTTGTATATTAAATACAATTTTACTACTAAAAAGAGTAGAAAAAGAAAAACCAAACAGTAGAGATTCGAGGGTCAGAAGCAGCACACGGCACCTGATGCATGAGGGTGGAAGCCAGGGAGGGGTAACAAGTGGCTGCTCCCCACCCCCGTGTTTCCCCCTGGCCAGCTGGTCACAGATCAACCCACCACATGCAGCTCTGCCCAACAGGTCTGCGGTTTTAGCAATCTGGGCAGGATTCCACAGGCCCCTGCGCAGTCTTTTTAAGAGAAAAAAAAATTACTAGGATTTCATTTTATTGTCATGAAAACCATAACTGAAGCTAGTTAATCCCTTGTGAAATGTCTGCCTTTCAGAGTGTTCTTCTTTCTTCTGACAATAAAATAACCCTTTGTGATTTCGTTGGGCTAATTCAGAGCTTTTTTTCCTCGTGTAAACTGTTTTACAAGCCATTTTTTAAAAGTCTCTCAAAGCACAGCTGAACTCTGCACAGAGGATTGAAACATTTAATTTTCTCTAAAGGAGCAGTCCCCCAATTGGTTCCCCTGGGCTGGAATCGCCGCGGTTGAGTTTTCTGCGAACGAGGCTTCAAGCTCAGGCTTTCTCAGCTCCTCCAGCATGTCCTGGATGATGACTTGCAGGGCTTTGCCCAGCAGCCTGGCTGGGAACCAACGGGATAACCGAGGCACGTGGATGAGGGCCGCGTACCCATTTCCATGATGCAAAGACAGGTAGTAGGTGTAATCACAGACGTATCTGCAACCACATGAAATGCTGTGTTACTACTCCCTGAGCCAGCCTCTAATCCCAGCGAAGTGTAAGCATAAGGGACAGTGCAGCATCCCCAAAGCACGAAGACCTCGGACTGCCACCTAGGGAGTTTTAGGATTTGTTCTTCTGCCTTAGAAAGAAGAGTTGCTGGAAATGAACCCGGGAGAGACTGATTCTTGGTCTCACGGTCCCACAGTCAGCAAGCAGCAGAGCCTGGGAAGGGACCAGATTTTCAAGCAACTAGTTCAAAACACTTTTACACCCGAACCCCTCTCATTCATGTCTACTGAGTCATTTGTTTATTCATTCTTGGGGAGCGGTGGGGGAGGGGAGGGGAGAAACTATCTACCGGTGGGTCAGAGTTTGGAGGAACCAAGGTAAATTCATCTCTATGTGGGGCTAAATCACAACAGTTAACTCACAACCTGGGCGGCCATAGAGAAAAAGCACCCACAAACGTCAGTGGCTCTCAAAATATGCCTTCCCAGCTCTTCTCTATCCAAGCAACAAAGGCCGGGGTTGGGGTCGGGGGCTTTGGACCCGAGACCCGGGGCGGGGACGACAACTTGGTGGTCTGCAGGAGCCCCCCCAGCCCGTCCCGGGGTGGCACCGCGTGAGCAAGTGCCCAGCCGGACCCCGCAGGATGGCCTTCCCGGGGAGAGACCCTGGTCGGAGGACGCGCTGCGGTCATTTCCCCTCCTCTACCCCTTCAGGGACCCAACACCCCCAGTAGGTACCTGCCGGCATCTCGAGAAAAGATCACCTCCACACCCTCCACTGCGAAGCGCTTGCACACCGCCTTCATGCTGACCTCCGAAGCGATCACTTCCGGGCCATCCGGAAGGCACTCGCCGCGCGCCGGCCGGAAGCCCCGGATGTCGGCGTCCTGGTAGCTCCGGTTCTTGGCGCACTGCTCCAGAATGATGGCCTGGGCGGAGGTGTCCATGCCGATGTGCACAACGAGCTGCATGCATACATGCGGCGGCCAAGAGATTAGGGAAACTGAGACCTGCTCTGCTCCCCGGTTATGGCTGAAGGGCCAAGCCCAGCAAGAGCACAGGGTGCAAAGCATCACAAAGCCCAGATCTGGACTCACCTCCGGGCTTCCCCGCTGACTCTTCCCTCCCCTCCCCCCACCATGAATGTGCGGGAATGCAAAACAACTGGATAGAAACCCATGTGACATTTAATTTAACTACTTTTATGGGGCAAATATTCTTGACGGGTGATGTATTTCCCCTTCTTTTCCCTGGGGAGGGGTCCCTCCCCGGGGAGGGGTCCCCCCCCCGTAGCTAAGACTAGCACAGGGGAAGCTTACCATTTCCGGGGAAACTCCCCTCTCCCCTCTCTTTTATGAAACTCTAATAAAGGAAGTAACAGTGTGATAAAATACTGTTGGGATTTTTTGAGCTGATTATTTTTCCTCTTTGAAAAAATAGCCGTGTTGTGTTTTATCAAAACACCTGGGGCAGTTGTCTTAATGGTTTGGTGGTGTGTGTTGTGTTAACCTCATCATCAGGACTTTCTATTTTTTGGACATTTGTACCAATTTTTTTTATATAATGACTGTTCAGATAAAAAAAGGCTGGGTGTGATGAAGATGGGACCTCCCCAGATGAGCCACCTGCCAACCTCCCTTCCAGGCGTAAGAGGTCCTTGTCTCTCGCTTCACCTCACAGCCAACCTGCCCTGCATGGCCATGGCTGGGACCTAACCCAAGGGCTTATTGGTTGGGTGGAAACTATCTCTGAGTCCCGGCAAAGAATAAAGATTCCATTTATTTTCCTCCTTCCCTGTCTCCAGAATCTTCTTCCAAGATCCACTCTTTATTTCAGCTTAAACTTTTATGAACAGACTCAGAACCTTAGAAAATTGGCTGGGACCTTACTGGTGGGACAACCCTAGAACCAGGGTCCAGGTGTTTACAGGCTCTGGGACTCCACCACGTCATCATCTCTGACCCCATTCCCCCAGCTTCACTGCCTCCCCAGCCATCGTTTACTTGCGGTTTAAGATCTTCCCAGATTCTGGTGACCTTCTGCTTCACCTCCCTGTAATCTACAGGCAGCTGGAGAATCCGCAGCTCTACGTCCTTGTCACCGTTCAGGCCCAGCTTGGACAGCTCCTGCAGGAAGAAGCAGGTAGACTCACCCTAATGGGACGACCCTGAAAAGCTAACACTTGGGTCACTCACTCTATTCCCAGGGTCTTCTGTGGGCCTGGACCCTGCCCTCAAGGAGCTCATGTGCTGGTGAGGGGCCAGCAGGAGAGTCACAGTTCCTGCCCCTCAAGGCCCCAAAAAAGGGGTACCCCCACGGCATATCTGACCCAGCCTGCCGGTTAGAACGATGGTCCGCAAAAGCGATGGAGGGTAGATGTCGAGAACAAATGGGACCGAACCAGATGAAGAAACTGGGGACGAGCGGGCCAGGCAGGGGGCTTCAGAGGCATGGGGAAGAATGAGGACCAGAGCCGCTGGGAAAGCTAGTGGGACTTGGCGCTGGGCAGAGGGTGTGGGGCAGGGAAAGCCTTCCTCTGGGTGTCCTGCATCTCCAAGGACAGGATGTTTAGCACCCCTGGACTCTGAGCTGAGCATTAACTGCCTGTGGCACCCCTGGGCATTCTGACAAATAAGCCAGCACCATCAATGGTGTAACAGGAGGCACTGCACGTGGGTAAGGGTGGGAACAGAAGCTAGAAAAGTCTATGGAATCCAGACTGGGTGCTCCATTAGAGTTTGGACTTTAGCTAGAGCAAAAGAGAGCCATTCAAGGATTGTGTGCAAGGAGCTAATGGGTCAGAGCCTCTTCCTAAGAGGATGGCGGTAGAAGGGGGTTGGGGGTGGGGGTGGGGATCATGAGGTTGGCTTTGGACCTGCTGAGTTTGAAGGGGAGGGAGCTGGCTTCTTGGCTCTGTGCGTTTGGAGCTCACAGAGAGGATTCTGGGAAGACAGTAGCATGTCAAGGCTGCAAAAACATGGGTTTAGATGAGATCTGGATGGGGTGGGGCGGGGGGCAGAGATAGGAAAGAAGTCCTGTGGAGAAAAACCCAAGGTCAGGGAGCACCCTCCTTCACAGGCAGGAGTTTGGAAGGAAGAAAGTCAGGGAGTGAGATCTTAGGCCTGTGCTGTGCACTGTTGGGAAACGTTAAATCAGAAACCTGCAGGCCGGTATCCTTTCCCCACTCCAGGAGCTGGGCTTGTCACCAGGATGGTTTCGGATTAGCACCTCTCTTTTTTCCTGCCTCCCTTCGCTGGCAATTTAGGATATCCAGGAGCGTGTCTTCTTGGAGAGAGGTTGCTGTTGGGCTTGTCAGGCCTGCCCAAAGTTCAGCGACGGGACATTCTGGGGCCCTGCCCTGGGCTTCAGAGGAGACAGGCTGGGATGATGGGCCCCAGTGCAGATCGGCCTCTGCTGCTCTCATGGAGGAGAGCACTTCTGGCTGACTTTCGATGTCTCAGGTCTGGCCTTGACAAGCTCGGCGGTCCTGAAGGGCTCAGCTTGGCCCACCAGACACCCACTCAGAAGCCCAGTTCCTCCCGCCGGCTCAAGCTTTTTCCTCTTCCAAAAGTAAGTGCCAAGATCACATTCCCATTTGGGACCTGAAGGGGGACTTCATTTGCCTGACTCCGGTGGGGGGAGGCAGGAAGGAGGGCCGGGTCACCTGGGACGGGGGCCTGGAGGCTGAGCTTCCAGATGGACATTCCAAGGGCCAGACAGACCAAGGGGGTTCCAACTCCTGTGTCCCTGTCTTGACCTGTCCTGTGGGGCGTGAGTGAGACAAGAACAGGGAGGCTGGACCCCTCTAGAAGCTCTCATGGGAGACAGGCAACACTCAGGCCTTTGCCTTTGATGTGAGGAGGGTGAAGAGGCCGTGGCTTGGCTCCCGGCTGCTTCTCAGACCCTAGTCATCTGTGAAGAACTAGTTTCTTCTACTCGGTGGCATTCTTACGGGGTCTGGCTCTGAGCAAAGCCTGCAGGGGAGCCCCAGAACCAGAGAGAATTACCAGGGAATCTGCCCTCAAAGCTGACCCCCCAAGAAGCTGCTGTAGCCCAGCCGTCAGTGGAAATGTCAAGTAATTACGCTCACTAAGCCTATAAAGACGCGGTGCCCCAGGGATAGGGACATCCACACTGAGCCAGGCAGGCCCAGTCAGGCCCAGCACCAGCTGTCCAGTGGTGACTGGTCAGCGCCCCCTCTTCGCAGAGGAATGAGGCTCTGGTTCTGGGTTGGCACACAGAAGCCCAGACCAAAACAGGCTGCGGAAGGAGCCCCCCTCCCTTTTTCTTTTTTCCCTACCTCTGCTTTTTCTTGCCACCCCACGCCACGCCAGCTGAGGGGAGAGGAGAGAGGAAGCAAGCCCCTGGACATGTTGCAGGTCCCACAGCTGCAGCTGGGGTTCTGTTGGCTGGCTTTGGGGAGCTCTTTGCATGAGTTTCCTGTGGTGTCATGACAAAGTGGGTGGCTCAGTCGCAAATTTTATCACCCAAACCTGTAAGAAAGGAGCCCCAAATCCAGGTGTCGGCAGGACCATGAACCTGTAGGAGGGGGACCCCGCCTGCTTCCTCCAGCTTCCGGGAGTCCCAGGCAGCCCTGGGATGATGGGCCCCATCTCTGCGGGCTTCCCATCTTCCCTCCGTGCACAGCTGCCTCGAGTCCAGGTCCCCCCGTTTTATAAGGACGCCCAGTCCCTGGCTCCGTCTGAGGCTGTGCTTCCCAGAAGGCGATGGCATCACCCTCGCCAAAGTAGGAAGTGCCAGGACGCTGAACTGTCGCCGTCCCGGGAATCCACAGAGTCGCTGTGGGATGGACGGTGTTCGACGTCCAATTTGACCGCTTTGTGTTTTTTTTCTGTATCTAGGAAATAATTCCCAGGAGATTAAAGCATCCTGCTTCTGCTCATCACGCATTTCCTTTTAAGCGGCCAACCTGATGCCCAGATGCACTTGACCGCAGGCTGGTGCTCGTGTACCCCCCTCCCCGTGGGTTCCAGCAGAAGTCCGCGGCCACGGCCCAGCCCCATGGCCAGCCCCATGGAAACTGCGGTAGAGGTCATGTGGTCACGGACTCCGGGTTGGATAAGGACAGGTGCCACATGCTGCGTTCCATCAGCTTGGCCGTGTGTGGCCATCCAGTCAATGGCGAAAAGCTTCGTGTCTAGAGACCCTTGGATATGAGATTTGCACATAAGGGCTTGTGGACCTGTGTCGACTTGAACTTGTTCAGGCGTTGCCTTCAGTGTCTTCCTGGTGTATGCTCTTTCTAACAAGAATGTCACCCTCTTCTTCTCTCTCTCTCCACTGTTGTTCTGACAAGGGAAGAGCCTGCAGCTTGGTGGGTCTGCCCGGTCACCAGACTCTTCTCAAGCTGCAGAGCCTCCCCAGGGAGGAGGTGACTGCGGCCACCCACACTGTACGGCTGCAAGTCCGGGGGCCTGAGCTGGGTCCCCTGGAGCCTTTCGACCTGGGGGCGGGGGCGGGGGCGGGGGGTGTGGATGACAACTCAAGGACAGCCGGGAGAGCGTCCATACCTTCATAGGCTGCAGGCCTCGCCTGGACCCTGGCCAAGCCGCCTGGGCGACCATGGGAAGTCTGCGGCCATCCCAAGGTCACCAGGACTGGTAAGGGACCGTAGAGGTATAAGAGAGGGTCCTATGAACTGAAATATGTCCCCCCCCCAACATTCATAGACTAAGGCCCTACCCCTCCCAGTGTGATGGTATTTGCAGACGAGGCCCTTGGGAGGTGACAGATGAGGTCAGGAGGGTGGGGGCCCCAGGATGGAATTAGAGTCTGATAAGAAGAGGAGGAGACAACCAGAGCCTTTCTTTCCTTGCTACATGAGGACACAGCCAGAAGGTGGCCCTCTGCCAGCTAGGGAGAGGGTTCTCACCAGAAACGGAACCTGCTGGGCCTTCGTCTCACACTCAGCCTGCGACTGTAGTCCTGACTCGGGATATTGAGGAAACTTTTCTAACTTGACATTATGAAGAGAGTCTCCAGGCAC